TGAAAAGCCCTGGACGGCTAACAGCTTGGAACTTCTTACTCAGAATTTCCATTTGCTCCCTTGATACTTTTATGTTTTGGAAAAGGTGGAGGTTTGCCCTTAGTGTCTCGCTGGTATGCCCAGCTGAATATCAGGAAATGAATAACAAATAGCCACACCTCCCCAGCTCCAGATTTGGAGGCTTAAGGAGCAGCCTAGGAGGGTGTGTCATCCCCAGTCAAGGACTTGAGAGAGATGGGATGTGAACTCAGAGATTCTATGTGTGGAAAGTCCGAGGCTGTGCCCAGAGGAAATCCCCACACAGCCCAGAGTGACAACATTCACACAGACGCCTATGATGTCAGCATGGGAAGAGATGGCAGGATGACCCACTCAGACCCCCCAGGCATTGTCTGAGCCATCCAGCACTGACCCAGAACCCGGGCCTGACAACATGGCATGGCTGCGTGTCACTGTAGCACGCCTGCCCTGAACATACTAAAACAGTCACTCCTCAGCTCCCAGCCTGTCCTACTGTCTACTTCTAAACCTTTTTGTCCCTGTGGAATACCCACAGTGAAGTTACCAATTGAAGTGTGGCCCCTCCAAAATACATCTTCTTGGTTAGGCCCTGACCCCCAGCATGGTGTGGTTGTCTTTTGTTTTGTGATTGGATGTATTTCCCTCCACTGTGTGCATTATAAATCCTGGAAACCCTGTATTGTGCTCATGAGGAATCTGTACATAGACCAAGAGGCAGTTGTTTGAACAGAACTAGGAGACCCTGAATGGTTTAAAGTGCACTAAGGTTGTATTCTTTCACCATACTTATTCAACCTGTGTGCTGAGCAAATAGCTGAGAAGCTGGATTATATGAAGAAGAACATGGCATCAGGATTGAAGGAAGACTCATTAATGACCTGTGATATGCAGTTGATACAATCTTGCTTGCTGAAAGAAGAGAAGACTTAAAATATTTACTGATGAAGATCAAAGACCACAGCCTTTGGGATGGCTTGCACCTCAAAGTAGAGAAAACAGAATCCTCACCACTGGACCAATAAACAACATCCATGTAAATGGAGAAGAGATTGAAGTTGTCAAAGACTTCATTTTGCTTGGATCCACCATCAACATTCATGAAAGCAGCAGTTAAGAGATCAAATGATGCATTGCATTGGGCAAATCTGTTGTACAAGACCTCTTTAAAGTGTTCAAGAGCAAAAGTGTCAGTTTGAGGACTAAGGTATGCCTGACCCAAGCCATGGTATTTTCAGTAGCCTCATATTCAGGTGAAAGTTGGACAATGAATAAGGAAGATCATAGAAAAATTGATGTATTTGAATTATGGTGTTGGAGAAGAATATTAAAAGCACTATGGACTGCTTGAAGAACAAACAAATCTGTATTGGAAGAAATACAAGTTGAATGATCCTTAGAAGCCAGGATGTCAAGACTTCATCTCTCATAGAGGAACCAGTCCCTAGAGAAGTAGCTCATGTTGGTAAAGTAGAGGGTCAGTGAAAAAGAGGGAGACCTCCAACAAGATGGACGGCACAATGGCAGCGGCGATGGGCTCAAGTGTAACGATGGTTAGGAGTTTGGTGCAAGAGCGGGTAGTGTTTCATTCTGTTGTGCATAAGGCTGCTATGAGTCGGAACTGACTTGATGGCACCCAATAACAACAAATATGTTAATGAGGCAGGATTAGTGTGGGGGTGTATACTGAGTCATAGCCCAACAAGTGATTGTGAATCAAGCAACACCCTTACTCAAGTCACATCCTGACTTGAGTCACACCGTTTATCTTACAAAAAAGAAGCAAAGAAAGCTGTAGAGAAGGTTCTGTCATCTTACAGAATACATATGGCGCCAGCAACAGAGTGTAGCTAGAAATGTGGCCGGTCAATGAACAAGACCAACATGTGATTGGGTCACGGGGAAAGGGCGATATTTCTTATGCATTGGCAAAGGACCTGTCAGAATTGTGCTCAAATACTTGGTGAAAGATAGATGAACTTGTGTAGTTGGCTGAGGAGATTTCTAAATAAGACCTAGTAAAATGGAAGAGGAAAGAGAGGGACTTAAAAATGAACTGCACACAACGAAAACAGAACTTGAAGATTTGGAAAATTCTGCTGCACAAACTAAGGACACATGTCCTAAAATACTCACCAAAGATGTTGCTACACGAAACTTTTGTTAAAGAGGTTAAGCCTGTGACTGGTCAATCTAACCAACCCCCATAGCAGAAAACCCATCTGCTTAGAAAGAATGGAAGGAAAGAATGCTGTCTGCCTCTTGGAATTCTACAGGCAAGAAACAAGACAGAGGGGTTACATCTCTTGTCCTCTAAGAAGAGAACATAACTCTTCCTGGAACAGCTCCAAGACCAGCACAAATGTTCAAGAAGCTAGAGGAAGCAGGACCTTCTCAGTTCCAAAGGGTGGGGCCCCAGTCTCCTGGGTTTCAAAGAACCTGATTTTTGCTAACTCGTTTCTGGAATCTAGGCTGCCATAAAGGTCTGCCAGAGGGACAAAGCATGGGGCGGGGCAGGACTTCCATGTTCAAGGGGCAGAAGAATAGGACCTGCCGAGGTTAAGAGTGTAGGGTCACCACCTGGATGGACTAGAAGAATGGGACCATCTAGAGCAAAGGGAGTAGAGTTGCTGTCCCAGTGGGCCTAGAAGGCAGAATGGAGGCCCAGGGCCAAGGGGTCTCCACCCAGAATTGAGAAATGTGGCCAGGACCCAGAGTATAAAGGACAGCACCGTGGACAGATGGTCTCAGAGAAGAGAGGACCATTTTCAAATCTTGAGACCTAATATAAATTGTCTAATGGGTTTTGAACTTGCTTGGCTCCTGTTATCTCTTCTTTTGCTCCAATTTCTCCCACTTGTAATAAAAAAATCTACCTTGTGCCTGTCCCACCATTGTGCTTTGGAGACAAATAACCTGTGGTCTGGATTCTACAGGTTCTCAGATTAAAAAGTATTCTGCCCTAGGTGGAATATGCCTGAAGTCTCATCTACATTTAATTCAGATGATTCAGAAGATGAGATTTTGGGCTCAGAATCTACTTAAGACTTTTGGTATGACACAATGGGGTGAATGTGGCAAGGACATGAATTTGGGGGGTGTTAAGGGGTGAAATGGTGCTGTAGGAGAAGCACTGAAGTGCTAATGTTAAATGGTTCAAACCCACCCGTTGCTCCTTGGAAGCCTCATACAGGGTCGCTATGACCCAGAATTGACTCACTGTACTTAACAGCAACACAACAAAGCGTGGGATGTCTTAGATTGAACTGTGTTCCCCAAATGTGTGTCAACTTGACTAGGCCATGATTCTCAGTATATTATGTGGTTATCCTACATTTTGTGATCTGAGGTAATTATCTTGTATTTTATGTTATAAATTCTAACCTCTGTGTTGACAAGGCAGGGTTAGTATGAGATATATCTTGCGTCACAGCCCTATAAGAGGGCATGACACAAGTCACTTCCTTACTCAAATCTCAGGACGAGAAGTGACCAGAAAGAAGAGGGCCCTGTGCTGAGAACCTCCTAGACCCAGAAGAAGACCCATGGAGAGCTCCAAGGAACTCCAAGCCCTCAGGTTAGAAGATGAAGACCTTCCCCCAGAACTGACAGAGAGAGAAAGTCTTGCCCTGGAGCTGAGCCCAGAAGTTGGGCTTCTAGCCCTCAACACCGTGAGAGAATAAATGTCTGCTTGTTAAAGCCACTTTTTGTATTTTTGTTATAGCAGCACGAGAGAACTAAGACACGCAGATCTACAGAGATCGTTTGGCTGTTTGTAAAAAAAGGGTCGTCCAACCCCATGACTCGCTTTTCTTGCCTAGGGACTGTTCTCTGTCTTGTACATGCCTCACAGTGCTAGTGTTAGTTGCTCAGTACTGTTGAGTTGGTTCCAACCCATAGAAATCCTGTATAGGGTTTCTGAAGAGCAGCTGGTGGGTTTGAATCGCCTACCTTGTGGTTATCAGTCCAGTGTTTATATCCTACAGTGCCACCCTAGGGACTTTTAAAGGCATTAGTTTTTGTTTTAGATGTTTTAAGTCTAAAACAGAAAAAGGGAAACCAGTTAGGATAGCTGATAAAGCCCCTAGCTAGCTTCCTGTGGAACCAAAATGCCCCTCGATGTCACCCAGAGTGGTCCTTAAAGAGGTCAAAGATGAGCATGAACAGTCTTTGTGCTACCAAAAAAGAAAAGAAAAACAAAACAAAACAAAAAAAAACAACAGTTGATGAGGAGGGCCCACTAATCTTTATTACGAAAACCTACCAATGGGGCTGGGATTTAGAATGGACTACTTCAAAGTGAACTCAGATATGAACAAGTGAAGATTTGTGGCAATCACTAACCGGAGTCCATGAGGAAAGTGGCATTTAATCATGAAGAAGAATCCCAATAGGTCAGCCCGCACTGAGGGTCCTGCCTTGGAAACGGAATGGGGGTGGGGCCTCAGAATCTCAGAGCTCCCCCCTTTCCTGACTGGGAGGAAGGGTACCTTCACTGGTAATCATCCACTGGGGTGTGACTGGATTTGATTTTCCTTTATGTTCGAGCGGCGTGTGATTCAATTCCTCAAGCCGCGTCCCAGCAACCCTCCCGCTCAACCCGGAATGAGATGGATGTTTCCGGCCCTATTACTGTGTGTATCTTCACAGCCTGCCCCAACACACACACACACACACACACACACACACACACACACACACACACACACACACACTCTTCAGGGTATGCAACACCCGATAGCACCCCGTTTCCCCCAGTACCATCCACAGTGGGCCTGCGAACTAGACTTTCTCCAAGACAGGGACAAAGCCCTGGGGATGATGTTGGTGGAATTCTGTCTACAGACCTCCTGGCTACGTTCTTCAAGCCCTAAGCAGCCATCACCTCGCTGAAGCCAGGTGGACGCTGTCCACACCAGCACCCTAAGGCAGTGCTGTGTAGGGAGGTGGCGGGTGCCGCGCCCGCCGGGGTCTGGGCCTACCTAGTTTTTGCATGCATGCACGAAGCCTTTCTTCAAGATTGGATACTCTGCTCTGCAGCTCATCGTAGTCAAAGGCGCCAATTTCTTCTTGCAGCTCGTTTAGCACGGACGTCAGGTTCTGGACCTCCTCTTTAAACTGCAATACCAATTTGGCATCGGCCTTGTACTCTTCCAACACGGGTATCAAAGGCCTAAGTTCATCCATTTTCGCTTTTATCGCCTGCAAGGTTAAAATAAGCTGGGTTCAATGCGATGCGTGCAAAAACTCGTCACACCCTGCCTTGGCCTGGCTGCTCCCTACGCGAAGGACAGGGCACGTTCACTGTGCTGCTTTACGGACAGATTAATTTCTCCTGGTCCAAATGAGTTCGAAGAGCATATTAAACAGTCTTCAGAACACGAGCATATTTGGGAAAGGTTTTTATTTGTCAGTTCAGAATGCAGCATCTGAAGGTTACATGCTTTCAGTTACATACACAAAGTTCTCTCTCTCTTTTTTTTTTTTTTTTTTTTCTTTTTCAAAAAATGCATTGACAAGGGTTCAAACGACTCATGAAATGCATCTACAGTCGCATGCAAAGGAGGATCCTGGTTGTATTCAAGATTCCTTAGTGATATGGTGCTAAGTACTGGGAAATCATAGTAAAAAGGCATGATGTACAAAGCTCTCGGGCTCTTTCTCAGGGTTACAGGGGAGTGGGCGGCTCCTCCAGTCACTGCAGCTTTGAAAAAAGTCTGTTAAGTTAGCCCTGCAAGCAAGAAAATGAAATACTGTTGAAAACTAACTCACTAGCCTGCCTGAAACAGAGAAACATTTACACGGTCACTTAGAAAACAACAAGAAAACACACTTCAATGGCTAGTTTGATCCCCTCTGGACAATCTCTGCGGACATTCAGCAATGCAATTTAAGCATGGTAGAAGACCAGGGGTGGGGTTTTGGCTTTTCTTTCCCCTCAAAGCACACTGCCCCACATTGTGGAGCTCAGAGAGATGCCTGCAAATCCGAGCTGCCTCCCAGGTGCTGCTAAAGAACCGGAGCCCTGATACTGGGAAGGATTCTGGCTTTGTGGCCAGACAAGCCAGTCTCTTCCAAGATTATTCACGATAGCATGTCAGGAGCAAGGACAAACTGTCCACCTGCCGCTGACAAGAACAAGCATCTCGTTCCCCTCCATAGGCTCAGGCCGCTATTAGCTTATTTATAATATAGATTTATAACTTCATTAGCTTGCTGTTCCGTCTGTCTAATGGACTGCTTTTAAAAAGAGAATTAGTTCTTGCTTCATGCAGGGAGTGCATCCGAGGGAAACATTAGCATAAAAAGGACTGGGAGGCAGAGAGGGACAGCATCCGCCACTTCCCCTAGAGCTGGGCCAGGTAATGTGACCCATGGGCTTGTATCTGGGCTGGATTTCCCATTCACAATCCTGTATGCCTGCCTTAATTAAGGGGCATGCCATTTCTCCATTTCTTCATTCTGAAGCAGAGCAAACTGGAGCTGTATATATACATACCGGTACATAACCCACCGCAAACCCCACTGCTGTGAGTGAGTCTGTTCTGACTCTTACTGACCCCACAGGACAGAGCAGAGCTGCCCCTTGGGGTTTCCAATCTCTATGGAAGCAGGGTGCCTCATCTTTCTCCATGGGAGAGGCTGGTAGGTTTGAACCGCTGCCTTTCAGTTAGCAGTTGAGTCTTAACTATTTTACCACAGGGTTCCTTTGTTGGGATGTGTTATTGTTAAGTGCCATCAAGTTGGTTCTGACTCTTAGCGACCTCACCCTGCCTGATCCTCACACTTGGCCCTTGGTTCGAACCCACTGTTGCTGTCACTGTGTGGACGGATACACAGGTATTTATAATTAATTATATGTCAAACAAACTCCAGCTTTAATATCCACAGCTGCCTGGGGATGGCAAACACTTACCTAGCAAGTGAGAAAGATGCTGGAACCCCATGTCTCCCCTGCCCAGCTATGGTGCGCCTTGTCACAGCTAAATTAGGTCAGATTTGAAAAACTGCTCTGAATGATCCCTGCTCAGAACGGACTCGAATCAATTAAGCTAATACTTGCCTAATATGATTTACCTGCGGCAGCTGTGGAGTGACAAGGACTAGGGATGTCCCTTCAGCTAATATGCCTCTTAGGCTAGAGAAACTTGGGGCCTGGGGGCCTAGCTTCTGAACCAGATGGACTGACTTGAGAATGTGAAGGTGTGCTGAGAGCAGCCCCCCTCCCCCACACCCCAGCCTGCCTCTGGCCAGGTGCCTCTCGCTAGAACCAGGGCAGAGGCTGTTTGCTCAGCAAAGAATCATCCTTGGTGTGCCTTTCCCTTGAGTGCCCCAAATCTCTGTTTCTGGGGGCCAGGGGGCAAGCCTGAAGGGAACCTGAGTCCAGCTTCGGGGGAGGAGGTACATACCTTGAACTGCCTGGCCAGGTGTTGCTTATGACTCTCCTCCACCTGCTTAAACTTGGACTCCAGCCCTTTCATCTGATTCTCCATCTTTTCCACGTACTGTAGATCTCGCTGGGTCCGCCTGTCCAGTACCTCTATGGATTGAGACATGTTTTGTACCTGTCAAAGAGGCAACAGGTTCATGGGGGAGCTGCAGCAGGTGCCAAACGATCTCATTTGTCTCCTAGCACGTGACACCGACCTTTTCCTTCCTAGCCTGCGCTCAGGGAACCAGAAGCAGTCCATGCATTATTTACCAGTTAATCACCAGCATCGAGCATCGTGAACGACCAAGAGCTCCCTAAACGGAGCAAATTGGTTTGGTAAACATTTCCTATGCCACCTTCCAGAATGTGTGCCTATAATCCAATGCGGGGTGCAAAGCCAGGGTACAGGCATGGGGCAGTGGGTCGTCTAGCCCTTTCTTTTTATTTGGGGAGTAGGTGTATTATTTCTTTTTTTTTTTTTGCAGGATAGAAATCTAGCTAAGCAAGCATCAATACCAGCTGAGAGGAAAGGCATGGTGGCATGGTTAGGTTGTCTGAACCCCTGGGCAGAAATCCTCTTTCCCCCTAAAGCCCAGCCTTGCTGAGAAAGTTGATTAAGTGCAGGGTGAAGGAAGGGGGATGGCTCTCCCAGCTCCGCATCAGGTCTGTCTCCGCCCTCTCTGCCATCCATCATACCCACAATATTGTAAGTAGATGACTACTCCGTAAACACGGACATTCTGAACATATAGTTGGGAATCAATCACACCGCAAATGAAGAAATGCTGTTTTACATTTTTACCGGCAGCTTGGAATTGAGTCTGGCCTCAAGATGGAACTTTAATATTCAGCAGGGTTCCAGAGAGCTTAAAAGAAAAACCGTTTTAGTGTGGCCACCTGCCAGTGTACTTTATTTGCAGGAAACAGGCTTACAGTCCGTGCCAACTATGCTGGGGTGGGGTGGGGGGGCCGGGGAGGTGGGATGGAGCTGGGGGCCTGCTGCCCTGGGGTTGGGTTATTTTCTCCCAATCGAATCCAATTACCAGGGAAGATGATACTTCCGCAGCAGTTTTGCCGAATTTGAAAATCCTCTTCCTTCTAGGAAGAGTGGTTTGGCGGTGAGGCTGAGCTCTGGCTTGAGTGGAATGAGAAGTGAGGGGAATGGGGTCTCCACCTCACTGCCCACCTTCCATTCACACATAAAACTTCATTTCAAAAAAAGGGAGTTGGAAGAAGAGCTATCAAAAGCGTTCTTGGTAGGAAGAAGATAGAGCACTCCTCTCAGCATTTAAAATGCCTGGGATTTTATGACTTTTTATCTGAATGTAATCTACACAAATTCGCTTGAAAAAAATCAAGCTTGTAAAACCCAATGTGGGGGAGGGGCTTTGCTTGCTTGGATCCTTTCTCCCTTGACTGATTTGTGGGAAAGGAATACATGTTGTTAAGTGCCATCAAGTCGCTTCCGACTCATAGCGATGCTGTGTAGGAGCAACTGGTGGGTTTGAACTGCCGACCTTATGGTTCATAGTCCAGTGCTGATCCTACAGTGCCACACCAGGGCTCTGAGTGACACACCGTTGCTCTATATTCTGCTGTCTCCTTGTGTCTTGTCACCCCTGTCACTCTGTCACAGTGTGTAACAGCAGTGCCTCTCTGGAAAAAAGCCAGAGGTCTGTTTCCATTCATCCTTCAAGACCTACTCCCCGTACCACCTCCTGCAGGGAGCATTCCCTGATTGGCTGAGACAGTCATGGCCATAGAGCCCTTGGGAAGAAGAGTATCACCTTGCTGAAAGAGCCCATCCCAGGAGAAACCCACACATCTGCTCAGGTAGCATGGACTTCATGCCTGTTTGTGACCCTCAATGCACAATGTCAGAACTGCCCCAGCTCCTAACCTTGCAGCCATGTGGTGGGGAGGTTGGGAATGTAAAGGACATCTAACCCCCTCTCCTGCCCACCCCATTCACAGAAGCCAGGACTGAGGGAACCTGACAACCTCCACACCCCCAGAGAACAATGATGTAAAAATGTCCAGTTGTCCAACTACAGACAAAGAAGGTCCTATCGTCCTCCCTGTGTGGACATTTCCCTTTATGGTCAGTGGGAAAGTGCAGGCGTGGGCCAGCCTAAGGAGATAGCTGCTCTCCAGCTCCTGGGACCCCTGAGAGGACCACCATCTGTGCCCTGTGTCTGAGTTCTGGCATTGCAGCCAGTGTCCCTGCTACTAGATGGCATAGTCACCTCATGCCCTATCCAATGCATGGCAGCAGGTGCCCAGAAGAGGGAGGGGTAGCATAGGCCTGCAGCAGACACCCCCTGCTCAAGAGAGCCCCCACTGCTGGAACTCCTCAGCACCTCCAGAGCATCAGACATGGGGACTGACCGACCTGACTTGATCTTTGCAAACCCCTATGAGGTGATGTAAGTTGAATATCATGAGACAGATAAGACCAAGGCTCAGAGAAGCTAAGCAACCAGTCTGCTACCACACATCTGGTCCATCTATAAACTCAGGTTAGGCACTTCTTCAAGAGAGCAGAGCTGGCTCCCCACTTCCTTCACTTGCTTCTCAGCAGAGGCAGGAGTCAGCAGACCCCAGCCCTGGCTGAAGACCCCAGACCACTCAAAACCAGAATCTCTGTTGGGAGACCTGGGACTTGTGCCTTCAGAAAGTGCCCAGGTGGATCAAAGCTGGAGGCACATGGATGGCTGAGTACCATCCTGCCCCTGAGCTTGGAGACAGAGGCTCCATAAGAGGACCATGGTGAGACCGCCCCTGCTTCTGCCTTGGGGTGCCCTCACTGTACCCCTTCATAGAGAAGGAGGAAAGAGGGCAATGAAAGAGGCAAAGGTGAGTGGGGGAGGAGAGGCAGCCCCCCCCCCCCCTTAGCACACACAGCACATTGAGGAGGAGGGACAGGCCTCTGAAGACAAATGACCACCAGGATCTGCAAACCCACTACCTTCGAGCCGATTCCAACTCCAGGGCAGAAAAGAACGGCTTCTTATGGGGCAGGTAGCCTCACTGTTATCCCGATGAATGGCTGGCAGGTCTGAACCACTGACCTTGCAGTTAACAGCCCAGTGCTTAACCTACCCTGCAAGCAGAACAGTCCCAAAGCCCACCCTTCCAGGGGACTGGAGAGCTTTCCAGAATGCTATTTCCAAGTATCTGTTGTCCTCAATCCCTGCCAGGGGTCTCCTTCCCAGAGCCCCGCCCCTAGCTCCCTCCTCTGTGATTCTCAATAATTAAAGCCTCAATTAGGCTTTGGGCTAGTTTGATGTTAATACATGTTTGTGGAATCTGTTAACTCATTGCACGTTAATGCTTTCTAATCATGTACTGAGGTAGCTCAAATGGTAGAAAAAAATACACTCCATTCTTTAAATGATGAGTAAACTACGCTGGCTGAGGAGGAAACCTGGGTCTCCACACATGGGACCGAGAGCCTGGGGGAGCTACGGAGCCTGGAGAATCTCGTCTGCCCCTCCCTTGAGAGATGTGGAAACTGAGTCATAGTAAAGGACACAACTGTGTTGCAGGCCTGCGATTGAGCTAAGGCAGAGCTGAAGAATCTGACCCCCACCCGCCCAGGCAGTCCCTATTCTTCTGAGCCTGCTCCTACTGCCCCAGTGAGGAGGACAGTGAGGGGTTGGTCTGCCTGCACAGCTCACAGAGCCCCCTGCCTCCAGTCAGGAGCTGCCACCCCTCACTACTAAAACTGACATCTATTTTGGAACTTGTGAAACAGTCTCCGAGAGTCCAGGCTGCTCTGTGCACGAGTATGTGTGAATGTGCATGCATGTGATTGTGTACACATGTGCAGACATGCGTATGTATGTGATTGTGTGCACGCACACACCAGTGTTATTGTGCACACAAATGTGGTTGTGTGCATGTACACCTGTATGATTGTGTGCATGTCAGTGAGTGCATATGTGTGTGCACGTGATTATGTGTGCATGAGTGTGCATATGCATGCATGTGTGAGTGTGTGATTATGTGTATGTGCATGATTATCTGGTGTGTATGTGTGTGAATGCAAATATATGTAATTGTGTGTGTACTTGTGTGCATGTGTAGGTATGTATGTACATCTCTGTGTGAATGTGCATGTGTATATGCGTGCATGTGTGAGTCTGTGTACATGTGTATGTATGCATGTGTGTGTGAACTCATGTGTTTGTGTAGAATGTGTGTGACTATTTAGTGTGTGCCCCTGGGACTGATTGTGAGACTGTGGATGTGCAGGTGTGTGACTGTGACCATCTCTACTCTATAAGGTAAGGAGGGTCCCTACCCAACAGACGTACCCTAGGAAATATCCTTTTCCTTAGGGGAGGGAGAGCAGTGGAACAGAAGGTCACTCCATTTCTCCTTCTCCCCTTTGTAACTCCTGGGAGACCCCAACATTGAGGATGATCCCAGAATACAGGGTCCTTGGGCAGACTTTTCAAGAGAAGCCAGTTGAGAGGAGTGGGGTAGGTTAGTCTGGGGGGAGGCTAGAACACCGGGACCCAAATGTTCACCTTTGAGAAATGGGCGGATAAGTCCCAGTGACCCACGTGGTCCTTGTGAAGGTTACAGAAGGGTCCCAGGTGTGTCTGCACACTGTGCAGTGCCACTCCCTATTGTGTGGGGATGCTCACACTGCACCCTCATGTTGAACACCTGGCTCTGTCACCTGCCAGGTGCAATCATCCAAAGGTAGAGAGAAGATGCCCACCTGTAAGTCCCCAAGAGCCAGGCTTCCAGGACCTACAGAAACGCCCCAATGGGATGCCGGACAATGGCCCAAGATCCCTGGACATCAGCTTGTGAGAATCACTCCTAAATATGACATCCTGAATCTCATCTGACCTCTCCCACTGGCTCTGCAGGAGCCTACAGTGACCATGGGCTGGGTCTAATCACCTCCTTTAGGTCTGCCCTGTGGACTCTCCACCCACCTACACACCCATCTGTCTACACATCCATCTGTCTTCCCACCCACCCACCCACCCACCTACCCATCCATCTACCCACCCATCCATCCACCCATCCGCCTACCCACCTGCTCACCCACCCAATCCACCCACCCTCCCATCCATCCATCCACCCATCCATCCATCTGCCCACCCATCCACCCACATAACCTATTTCAATGCAAGAATCCAGCCATCAGTTCATTTATCCATCCATCACCCTATCATCCATCCACAAATAATTGTGAATGGGACATGCAGAAAAGAGAAAAGAGGGAGGCCTTGGAACTGGGCATATATATACCCTCAGACGTTGCTGCTGGTGCGGATGCTCCAACAGACCCCTCTCCTTACTGCCCCCTCCCCAGCTCTCACCTTCTCCAGCAGCTGCCTGAGCTGTTTCGTGCGAGCGTCCCGTGAACACATGGTCTGCTGGGGAGCTACCACTGTGCAGATACACCTGCCCTCACTGTCCTGGGCAGAGCTGTACACCTGCCAGCTCTCCTCGGGGTTGGTGGGCAAAACCTGAAGGAGGGGTGGGGGTGGGGAGGAGAGAAAGAAAGTGAGGTCATGGGCAGTGCATAGGACGGAGGCCACCCAAGGGAGAGGGATGCATCCAATCCCAGGGCAGAGGCAGGAAATGTTCCAAAGACCATCTGACCATAGGGAGGGACCCCAGGGCTGGAAAGGAGACAAGCTAAGACGCTTGCAGTTTCTTTTAAATATAAGTCCCACCCAAGGGCTGCTTGAAGTTTCGGCTTCTGTTCACACTGCTAGGTTATATGAGATGAGGAGCAGTCAGCGGCTGGGGGCGGAGTGGAGACAGAACCCAGGCAGGGAAGCAAGTGTCTGGCTGGCCCCGGCATCACAGCGCACAGCTCAGAAGTACGACACCTCCGCCAGGCAGGCTGGCACAGCCGGGCCACCCTGCCGCTGTCTGACATTTGGTAACATTCCAGACCCAGCAGCCCAGAGCTGCAGTGGCCAAGTCAACCAACTCCAGGGTGGCTTCTGCCCACACACCATTTGGTGGGCTTCACCAACCTGGGTGCCATGCTGTGCAGGGGTCACTTCACCCTCTGTCCTTCCCATAGACCACCAAGGCAGTCAGAGATAAGCCACGGATGGATCTATGGGAGGAAACACAGCCTGAATCCTGTACACCCTCCTGCCCGGCCCTGCAGCCTGGATCTGTTTCTTCCACCCTTCCCTGCACTGGCCTCGGTCACCTCCCTGCTATTTTTAGCCACGATGGGGAGGAGAAATTGGGAGAGGAGACTCTATAGTAGTGGTATATTTAATTCCATTCACTGCCGCCTCAGCAGCTCTGGACGGCACAGGGGACAAGCTTTTACAGAGAGCTGGGTAAGTCTTATTGAAACCCGGACCAGGTGGTAGTGATTAGGGTCATGGAGGGGGTCACAACTTCTTCTTTTCCAGCAGCTCTGTGGCCTCGGAAAGGCAGCAAAAAGGGAGCAAGAGCCGAGGCGCATGTCCTTCACTTCTCCTTCCCTTAGAAGGGGCTGCCTGGGCGGCCCCTGTCCAACGCCTCTCTCTGACCCCTGGAGAGCAGGCGGGCTGATTCGCTCGTGCTCCAGACACCTGCTATGTCAGCCCTGCTCCAGAACAGACCGGCCACTCGTCCCTCTCCCGGAGGCCTCGAGTCGGGCCACTCAGGAAGCAGGTAGGGTGGAGGGGTTCCGGAAACAAGAGGCATCCATCGCATCGCATCGCACCTCCCAGAGGCCACTCGGTCCTTCTGCACCCCTTCAGACCTTTCCACGAGGGCTGGACTGAGTCTTCGGGACTTCAGGAGACTCGCTGTCCAGGGCTCAGCTCCCAGCTCCGCGGTCCAGTCCAGCTTTTACAAAGTGGGGTTCCTTCCCAGACCAGACTGGGGTCTAGCAGCGACTCCACCCCTTACTTGGTGAGTGACCTTGTATAAGTCCCCAAGCCCCCTGACCTCAGTTCCCTAGCCTTTAAGTAACCACCTTTTACAAAACCAGTGGCTGAATTAAAGCTCCACCGCAGTGTCTCCTGCCTTGCTGCCCCACCAGAGGACCGGGCAGAAAAAGAGTCGCCCTAGGGGACCGCGGCGGGAGGAGCGGCGGGGCTGGGGTGTGGGGAGGCAGGGTCACAGCCATAGCGCCTAGGGGCCACCCCGGACCGCTGCCCTTGGCCCACCGCCCGCGACCCGGGGCCCTGGGCCAGGGCCGCGGTGGGAGGGACCAGGGAGGGGCGCGTGGGCCGGCCGGGACGCACTTACGCCGGTGCTGCGGTCCAGCGTCCCGCCGCTGGCCGCCGAGAGCCTGGTGGTGTTGAGGCCCACCAGCGAGGGCAGCGTCTGGGACATCCAATTGGTGATCATGGCCATGGTGCTCAGCACAACCCCGATCTTAAGCAGCGGCACCGACATCGCGCCTCACGTCGCCTCCCGGCCCGCGCCGCACTCGGACCGGCGCCGGCTCCCACGCCTGGGACAGCCTCAGGCAGCCGGCACCGCGGCGGGCAGGGGCGCCCGGCCGTGTCCCC